CAGAACAATGGTTTGAAAATAATATTCAATAGAAATCGAAAATTTACGTAAATGGTTTTTCCGTAACTTCAGGGTATGCGATCATGTTTATGATTGTGGTAGAGAGGATAGATTAGCTTCTCGAACATGTCCGAATGGATATTTTAAATGTTCAGCTCATCGCTGTATAAATAATACAGGTCGTTGTAACGGTAATGCTCAATGTCGAGATGGTTCTGATGAAGCAGACTGTCAACGACGTTATCCTAATGGTCAACATTGTCCAATAGATCATTTTACTTGTAATAATGCTCTTTGTCTTAATAAGAACTGGGTTTGTGATGGAAGTAAGAAGCTTTATTCGTGTTTTTTTTTCTTATTGAATTATAATAAAATACTTTCATTTTAGATAATGATTATCTTGATAAGAGATAGTCAATGAAAGCAAAAAAGAATTTTAACATATTATATAATTTCCATTTTTTTAATTTAGTGATGCAACTCTTGAATTATCCCAAATAGTACCTTGTAATTCAACCAATCGTTTTCAGTATTAGATTGGTTGTCTTTTTATTATTGTGGAACACAATCTAAAAGGAGTTCTGAGGTATTTAGTGAAAGTTTGGACTCATCTCTCACAGACCGTACATCAATTCTCATTATAGGTGTCCTGTCCAATTGATTTATTTCAACTTAATTTTTTCAGGTTCGGCCCATTCATAAAATTAGGTCGTTGTTTGCCAACGAAGATTTAAGTCTCGATTCGGATGAAAAGAATGTCTACTGTCACTTCCGTATCCGTTATTCAGCGTAGATTTTGTTTACATGTTTAACAATGTATTGAAAACTCAAATAGTTCAGCATCTTCTAGTTTTGTTCAGTATAACGAAGTGTGACAAACGAATGATAATAAGAATAGCAAATATAACGATTCATGAAGGATAATGAAGAAATATGTCCCAAAATAGACACAATAAAACAATTTGTCTAGGGTTATACAAAGCAGCTACATTGTGTTTTACATTTTAATCTTACAGAATGGTGCTAGTAACTTATTATTTAAAGATGTACAAATGGTCGATGAGTGTATGTGATCATACATTTATTGTATTCATAAAAATCATTGTAAATGATATTCAGATTTATGTGATGAAAGTAAATGAAAAAAAGACAAATCAAGTAATTTTATTAATTTATTTATTTTTAATTAGTTAATGATATTGTGCTGATGAATCCGATGAATTATCATATCATCATAATACAATAAGAACATGTGCTAATCAAACAAATCATTGTGATCAAAGATGTCATGATTTATCAAATGGATGAAGAATTGTTTGTTCATGTAATGTAGGTTATAAATTATAATAAAGAATCATTCAAATGTGAACGTGTTACATTAAATTATTGTTGACATCATTTTTGACTCTCTATCAGTAAAGTCTTAGCGTTAATATAATTATAAGATATTGAATGGAGAAAATTTTCTTAGGAAAAATTATTTTTACTGTTTACTTTGCTTCTTTTTCTCGCACATTTTGAATTCTAATAGGAAATTTTTCATTAACTATATAGAATTATACAATTTTACATGATATTCTCTTAACTTTAAATTAATGAATATAAACATGCAATTATTCATTTTTTCCGTTTGAGCTAATATTTGACTCACAATAAAAGTCTTGATAAGACTAGAAAAATCTTTACAAAGTTCGTGAGCATGAACCCTTGGAGCTGAATTATGAGTCATGATTCAGTTCCAGAAAGTCATAGTTACGAACTTTTTAAAGATTGTTCTTGTCTTATTGAAACCTTCCTATGTAATATAAACATGAACTAGGATTATTGAACATGTCATTTTAGCCGAAGTAATGTTTATGCTAGAATTAAAGAAGGGTATACGTAATGTTAATAACTCAACAATGGTAACCGGTAGTGACTCTTGGTTTTCTGCAATCGAAAAAGAAGAAGTCCAGATTATTTTTTGTCCGATACTGTATGAGATAAAGTTCTTTTAGAATCCATCATCTTTGTAAAATATTCAAAAACCCGATTTATGTGATGACCTCTCAATATTACCATGATGAGAAAGTAAAATCGAATATTCATTTGAACAAATTATATTGATTTCTATTGAATTTTGGCAATTTTTCGCTACAAGTACATATTATTTTTCTTGAAATTTTGATATAATGACAAATATTTTTATTTTTCATTTTTTATACAGATCAAACAATTGATCTTCTAATATCTGAAGTCGATGAAATTCGTTGTCTTCGTTGAACTTCCATAGAAAATGCATCACATTATTGTGTACTTATTGAAGATTAAGATGATACTAGTTTTATTTTTATTGACACAAATAATCGTATATTTTATTGGGTGGCTGAATCTACATCAGAAACTTATCGTGGGCACTTCCCAGCAGTATATCTATCGATTGGGTCAGTCAAAGTCTTTATGTAGCTGATTCTATTTATGGTTGTATATGGATTTTAAAAAATGATGGACGTTATGCAACTAAGTTGATAACAAATATAGGATCACCATAGGTTGTTACTATTAATCATATAGTTGAAATACTTTATTTTATTAATCATGAAGAGAGAACTGTTGAGAATCCTATTGAACGTATTGTTGTTATTGAATCAGCTTATATGAATTTGTCGTGTTCATTGAACAGATAAAAAAACGAATCAATGGAATCAATGAATTATGATGAATTGCATCGTATTGTTATAGCACATTCATTAGATATGTTTGCAAGCCATTTGTATCGGATTAAACATGAAAACCATTCATTATATACAACTGAAAAATTTGGACTTGGAATATCTACACTTATCATCCATTAACGATATATTGAATCAAGTTTAGATAAACAGAAATTAGTAAATAAGTAAAAGAAAAATAAAATTTTGTTTGTTTGTTTTTTGTCTAGCATCAAATTCATGTAAAATAGCTAATTGTTCAGATTTATGTGTTTAAAAATCCTTAAATCAATATGAATGTTTAAGTGCGTTTAACATAAAAATTCAAAAAGATAGTCGAACATATAATGCACGTATGTATATGAAAATTTATAGAAATATTAAAGTAGTATGAATAGGATTTTTTTTCTTCAAAGCAAGGTTCTTGAACTTGAAAATGTTTTACAATGGCATTGTGTATATGGTAAATGCGTTTATCATGTTGATGAAGATGCTGGCCATCGATTAAGTCGTTATGAATAGATATGGAAACTATGTATTAATAAAAAATTGTTTTTCAGCTTATGAAGATGAATATTGTGATAAACACACTGGAAAGCTGTCAATTCCTCCACCTATATAAAAAAATTGTTATCATCGCATTTGTTAGTTTATTATTAGTTGGTATTCTTACTTTTGGTTTAATTCAATTGAAACTTAAAAAAACTAAGTTGTCGAGATAAATTTTCCATCTCGAGGAAATGGACCTACTCAACATGTCTCCATCCGATTTTGATGATTTTTTTTGCCTATCGATACTACATAATATTCTAATAAACATCTTAAAAGGATTTAGGCTTTGACTGACGGGAGAAGGTCTCGAGATGATTAAAAGTTTTTGGGCCCATATTTTGTCCAGTGGCATGAGACCTATAGATTAGGACATTCTTCAAAAACGTCGTGTTGACGTTAAGATTTGACCGATATATTGACTTTCTAATGAATTTTTCTGTGTACATACCCACTTTTTCGATCAAGTCTTCTTGCTAGATTTTGTTCTAAAAACTTTGTCTAAATGAAAGTCTCAGTGACGTTAGTTTATGCACGGAATTTCAGAAGTTTGTAATCGAGTGTCTCTAAGATATGCAACTCCAAAAATATGTATGATTTACACAGAATCAATAAAAAATCGCTTAAATTCTGAAATATTGTGCATAAGCTAGTCTCCCTGAAGCCTTAGTTTGAGCAAAGTTTTCAGGTTGAAGCTCGACAATAGAATTTTATCGAAAAATTGAGTCCACACAGGAAAAAATTCACTAAAAAGTCGATACATCGGTCAAATCTCAACGTCAGCATGAACTCTTCAGAACCGGTTCTAATCTATAGGTTTCCTACTATTAGACAAAACATAGGCTTAAAATCATTTTATCGCCTGAGGACGTTTTCTTATAAGCTATCAAGTTTTGCACATATAGAGAATTCAATTAGACTAGCCTCCAAAAACTGCATGTTATATATACTATTTATTGAAATGGGCCTATATCTTGTGAGTCTCATATCTCGAAGAAAATTAGTTTAAAACTTATGATTTTTTTTGGAAACTAATCTAATTGAGTTCTCTCTATATGCAAAGTTTCTAATCAAAATTAGGAAAGAAAGTTTTTCTGTAAATCTGGGTCTCTAGAAAATAGACATATTTGTAATTCAATAGCTTCCAAGGAAACTTCTTCAGATGTCGCATTGCTTCTCAACTGAGACGATGTTCATTTGATGAGTACTAGTGATTAACAAAAAAAGAAATCTAATTAGAATTGCTTAGTTTTTCGAGCCTTTATTCTTGAAATATCAAGGTTTTACTGAATTTTTCAACAAAAAACTATTTGTTTCCTCAAGTCATGTGTGAGTTTCGATTTCAAACTTTGTCTGAACAAAGTTCTTAATGATATCAGTTCATTGAACAAGTTGTAACTTTTCTAGTATCTTACATTCTGAAACATCGAATTTTCAAAATTCGTTCATGTATAAAAGAAAACTTATATCTATATATTTACATCTCTAAAAAGGAAATAAGAGAAAAGCTAAAAGTTGTACAATCAATTAATCTCATTAAAAGCTTTGTTCGTGCAATGTATAGAGTCAAAAGTCTAACTTGATTTAATGGGGACCGCAACTATTTGTTGAAAAATTCCATCAAACTTTGATATTCAAACAATAAAGATCCGGAAAATCAAACCCTTCTCTGCTTTTCTGTTATTCACCAATATTTATCAAATAAATATCATCTAAATCGAAAGTGATTTGACACTTGGAACGGTTCTCTCCTAAATAGTGATGGACCGTAAGAGATTTGTAAGAAATGAAACGTTACGAAAGAAAATACGAAGTCATGAAAGAGAGTAACCGAAGAGTCTAATAGATCACGGTAGAGGTCTATTTTCGCATAGGTTTCGTAACTATCGTTTCATTTACGTGAGTTTTCGCAAACTTTAAAATTTTGAAATTGCTAGGCGGCTCATCACTGTATTTATCATAGAATATCCGTTGTTTTCCCTTTTCAGAGAAAAAGATTTTACAATTTTCCAAAAGAAACTTGAATTGAATTTTATAGTATAGAAATTTTTTTATTTTAGCGGCAGATTTTGCATCTCTGGTAAGAAGAAACCGAATTCTTTTGACAAACAGTGATATACTAATAGTAAAACTGCATTTGAAGGATATATCATATCTAATAATTATCTTTGTGTTTCTTTAATCTTTTTGACAATAAAATATATGAATAAAATCTAGTTAAATTTAAAAAAAAAAGCTTAATCAATCATCTATTTTTGTTTAATTGATTTTGCATAATTAGTTAAATTTGTACATAA